CCCCATCTCATGGCCTCCCTCCCCACCATGTGGCCCTCCCTTGGGAGTGTGGAAGACTGAACGGTCCACAAAGACTGGGCCCAATTCTTTTTCTTCATCACATGTATCACAGCTGGAATCTGTGCCTATTTCTTTGTTTGCTTACTAGTCTCTGGAAGGTTCAGCGGGAGAAGGGCCACCTCTGTTGTGCTGGCTCTGAAGAGCCAGTGCACACTGCACAGTGCATGAGATGAATCCAGATGAATCAGACAGTGGCCCCAAAGAACGCCGGGGCCATACGAAGAGCACTGGGAGTGGAGAGAAGGCAAGTGGAGATCAGTCCAGACGGCTTCCAAGAGGAGAGTGTGGTGCAGGGCTTCAGTGGAAAAGGAGGGACTTGGCAGGCAGAGAGTGGCATTCCAGGGAGAGAACTGTCCTCCCAGAAGCACCAGAAAGAATGAGGAAGCTCACTCCAAGAACTAGGGTAGCTGGGCAGGAGGGACACTGGCCTGGGCAGGTTAGTGACTGCCCCAAGGTCACAGCCTGCTGGCACTAACTTGGGCAGAGCTGGGAACTCTGAAGCTGTAGAAATAGCAAAGTTCCCAAAGTAATTTATAGATTCAATGTTATCCCCATCAAGCTACCACTGAGTTTCTTCACAGAATTAGAAAAAAATACCTTAAACTTCATATGGAACCAAAAAAGAGCCCACATAGCCAAGACAATCCTAAGCAAAAAAAAAAAAAGAAAAAGCTGGAGGTATCAGGCAACCTGACTTCAAACTATACTACAAAGCTACAGTAATCAAAACAGCACGGTACTGGTACCAAAACACAAGATATAGAGCAATGGAACAGAACAGAGGCCTCAGAAATAACATCACCCATCTACAACCATCTGATCTCTGACAAACGAGAAAAACAAGCAATGGGGAAAGGATTCCCTATTTAATAAATGGTGTTGGGAAAACTAGCTATATGTAGAAAGCTGAAACTGCAACCCTTCCTTACACCTTATACAAAAATTAACTCCAGATATATTAAAGACCTAAACATAAGACCTAACACCATTAAAGCCATAGAAGAAAACCTTGGCAGTAGCATTTAGGACATAGGCATAGGCAAGGAATTCATGACTAAAACACTAAAAGCAATGGCAACAAAAGCCAAAATAGACAAATGGGATCTAATTAAACTAAAGAGCTTCTGCACAGCAAAAGAAACTATCATTAGAATGAACCGGAAACCAACAGAATGAGAAAAAATTTTTGCAATTTACCCATCTGACAAAGGGCTAATATCCAGAATCTACAAAGAACTTAAACAAATTTACAAGAAAAAAACACCACCATCAAAAAGTGGGCAAAGGATATGAACAGACACTTCTCTAAAGATAACATTTATGCAGCCAACAAACATATGAAAAAAAGCTCATCATCACTGATCATTAGAGAAATGCAAATCAAAACCACATTGAGATATCATCTCACACCAGTTAGAATGGCAATCTTTAAAAAATCTGGAGACAACAGATGCTGGAGAGGATGTGAAGAAATAGAAACACTTTTACACAGTTGGTGGGAGTGTAAATTAGTTCAACCATTGTGGAAGACAGTGTGACAATTCCTGAAAGATCTAGAAATAGAAATACCATTTGACCCAGCAATCCCATTACTGGGTATATACCCAAAGGATTATAAATCATTCTATTATAAAGACACATACACACGTATGTTCATTGTGGCACTGTCCACAATAGCAAAGACTTGGAACCAACCCAAATGCCCATCAACGATAGAGTGCATAGAGAAAATGTGGCATATATACACCAGGGAATACTATGCGGCCTGAAAAAAAGAGTGCATGTCCTCTGCTGGGACATGGATAAAGCTGGAAACCACCATTCTCAGCAAACTGACACAAGAACAGAAAACCAAACACCACATGGTCTCACTCATAAGTGGGTGTTGAAAAATGAGAACACATGGACACAGGGAGGGGAACAGCACACACCGAGGCCTGTCGGGGAGTGGGGAGCTAGGGGAGGGACAGCAGGGGGTGGGGGGTTAGGGGAGGGATAACATTAGGAGAAATACCTAATGTGGATGATGGGGTGATGGATGCAGCAAACCACCACAGCACATGTATAATTATGCAACAAACCTGCACGTTCTGCACATGTACCCCAGAACTTAAAGTATAATAAATAAAAATTTAAAAAGATATCGCAAAGTGCACCTCCAGCTTTCACTGAAGTAAGGCTGAGAAAGGAAAGCGAACAGACCCTGCCCTTCCGCATTTCACCCACACCTCCCAACATCCAGGGGCCAGGAGTATGCACAGAAATCACCAGCCCAAACTCAAAATGGCTCTAAGGTTAAATTCACATTCTATTCCCCGGTAGAATGATTATCTTAAAATTATTTAAGTGACCGGGCACAGTGGAC